ATCACGTCTAACCTTCGACTGATTCACTCGTACTACTGCCTTACCAGTATTGGCTTGGACCATAGCTCCTTCTTGTCCAAGTACTGTGGCACGAACCCAACGTCCTTTATCCTTGAACTTTGATGAATCCTGAGTCCAAATAAAAACCTTCTCTCCTTGAAAATAAGGACCGTCGCTTGGCATAGTCCTTCTTGCAAGATCTGCTCGAAGGTCCTGAGCTTGTCGTGCTTCTTGATGAGCTCTCAAAGCCACACGTTGTAGTTCCAAATTTGTACGATCTTGTGCGGCAGCATTAGCTGACAATTGCTCAGGGCTTGCGGTCTCAAGGTCAAAAAGATCTGGTGGACGTCTTCCAGTTGCTATCTCTATTGGTGAATATCCACTGATAGTCAACTGACAATTTCTTGCCCACACTACTTTCTTGACCACTTCTCTGACCGTAACACCACGAAAACGTGGGTCATCCAGATCTACCTTCATAACATGCCACATACGTTTGAACAAACGTACAGCTGTCTCTGCTCGGTTCGGCCAAGGAGTTCTTGGCCCACAAGGACATTGTTGTATACCATGGAACCTGTAGTATTCAACAAAAGCATCTGTGAAAAAGGCTTCGTCTCCTACGATGGCCTTTGGAACACAGTTGTTCTCATCAGACCATTGCCTCAATGCTTGGATGGTGGTTTGATCTATGAGGTCTTTCTGTGCCGTAGCCCAGAGAAGATTTGTGGCACCATCAAGAACAAGTAGAATGATATACTTGTTCTTGTGAAGTTCAACCTCACAATGATCAGCAAAAACAACATCACCAAAACATGAAGCTCTAATACCGGAGACTCTGGCTCGTGGCGGAGGTGCCACTGAAGTGTTACAAACACGGCAGTTCCTGACAACTGATTCATACTTCTCTACAACAGAGTCAGGAAGCTTCAACATAGAAACACGTCTACGAAACTGAGTAGGACTCATATGGTAGTGCTTCACATGAAGCTTATAAAGCTCTACCTTGTCCTCCAGTCTCTGTAACATCTTCCTATATGCCGGTGTCATTGCAACAACTTCACTACCAGGTAATGGGATTGAAATCCGCCTAGGCTCAAGAGCGCCATCACCTGGTTCAAGTGGTTCATGTTTATCACTTGATGGTCCTTTTGATGCTTTAGGAATTTCTACAAGTTCACCTTCTGGCCTCTCAGGTGGTTCTGAAGGAGCATACTCCTCAAGATCATCACCCTTTAAATCATTCTGAGGCTCAGATGGTTTTGACTTGTGTCCTTTCCAAAATGGATCAAAACCCTTGGAAGTATACCGGAACTTTGGCGGCACGGGCTTTTCCGCGGCACTGGATGGTGCACCTTCCTTCTCTGACGAGAAGCCTGGTTCCCTGTCCTTTGCAATGGGAACCTTCTCTGAGGAGGAGCGCACCACTGCATCGGGATCACCAATGCCACGGTGCTCAATGCCAGCCTTCCTGATCTTTAGATCTGGAATTTTGGCATCTGGCTTAAATTTAAAAATTGTTCTACCACGCCATTCATAGCCAAGTTGTAGGTCCTTCCATTTTGCCTTGCGCCAATCATCTGTCTTCTTGATTTCTTCTCCCCCTGTTTTCTTCTTGATGATTGTCAGTCGCAAGTCTTCCAGCAAGTCAGTGTCTACAGGACAGGACTTAGTTGCTGGGAAAAGAATTTTCCTGTAATCCTTGTGGTGACGTATCAGTTCTCTCTTGTGAACATCTACTTCCCAGAAATCAACCACAGGATATGCATGCTCAGCTTCACCTTCATCACTATTGTGTTCAACAGAAATATGGCCATATTCATAGTGAGTGAGGTGAGAGTAAAAACTCTTCTCACGCTGAGTCTGCCAACGCACGTCAGACAGGTACCATGCAATATCTTGGAAGTCCAACACAAGATGAGTACTGGCTGCAACCTTCAACTCCAAAAATTTTATACCAAGAGGCACCGATGTCAGATAAGCATGTCGAGGTGTCAGCCTGAGTTCAAAGCCTAAGTTCCTCATCTGTGGCAAGCTCATAAGCAAAGGGACTTCTCCTTCTTCTACTATGTCGAACTCTGTATGGTGGATCGTCCATGCACGATCATACATGTAAATCACCAGTTTCTGAGAGCAAGTAGCCTTCTGGGAATTGGCAAAGTAAAACTTGCTCTTGGTAGACTCAAAAGAGTACCATAATCCACAATCTGGGTGATTGTCGACATAGTTGCAAAAATGGTCGACTGCTCGCCTTGATCCCATAGCTCTAGTGCATCCAATGTCCAGGATTGCAATAGTTGGCGGGAAGCGATTCTCAGTCAAAAATGAAATAGCCTGCATCTCCTTCACTTCTTCCTCAGCGCTCATAAGCGCAAAGCCATCAGCGCTCATAAGCGCAAAGCCATCAGGAGCCTTTGTGAGCATCTCCTTTGACAAAGAGTACCTCACAGGGGCACTCATGTCATCGAAGATCGTCTCACCATTGTTGACCACGCAGTCAGCTTCATCTTGGCATGAGGTCATCATGCCTGACAGCAAGTCCACCTCACTGTCATGGACTTCAGCTGCTGCTGTCACACAATGTGCTAAGAAAACTTGTTGACCTCCTGATGCTTGTGAAGTTCTTGAAGGTGCAGGTAAAGAACGTGGCTGTTGTTGATTTGCATAGTTTGCATCTTGTTTGCCATCTCCTTTATCTTTTCCTTTTCCTTTCTTGCCTTTTCTCTTGCCTTTTCCTTTTCCTTCGTGGGAAAACCATGCTTCTTCAAGCTGTTGCCAAAAGTCATTGGCATCATCATATTCTCCTTGAAGATAGTCATTCATATCCTCGGCAAGAATGGCATCATATGCTCCTTGGTTTGACTCCCAAGTGTCCTCATAAGGATTCTCTTCTAGGTATTCATCTGGAAAAGTTGTCTGTTGCTCATCAGCAAAATGGCCTTTACCTCGTCTCTTTCCTTTTCCTTTTCCACGAGGTCTGAAGAATCTGCGGCCTGATCTTCCTTTTCCTTTTCCTTTCCTTCTACCTTTTCCTTTGCCTTTTCTGGCTCTTCTTCCTTGAAATCTCCTTTGGAACCATGAGAAGTTTTGATCATCATATACCCAAAAGACATCGTCCAGGGCATCTAAAAATCCTTCTGTTCCATCTTCTTCATCTTCGGCCCAATAGCCAAATGTACCATCGAGTTCTCCTTCGTCTAGTACAAGAAATGATCTTCTACCTCCAGCACCTGTCGGCTGCATCAATGGATTGTCTACTGAAGTCTTTGTCGTGCAGAACATCTCGATGAAAACTGTCCTCAGCTCTGTTGTAGTGTATTGCTGCAGGTACCTGCCACGATGAGTCATCAAAGAAGTCAAAGTGTTTCGCTGGTCCTGAGACAAATCTGCAAGTGACAGCATGAGTAAAGCAATCAGATTTTCTCCTAGAGGAAATTCATTCTGATGAAGAATTCTCATATTGCCATTGACATTCTGCATGATTTCCTGAATCCTTTCTGCCGTTGGTGCTACTCCAGTCAACGCTGCATCTGCCTGCATCTGAGCAAGGACTTGGGGATGTGCTTGAGTGACTGGTTCTAACATGTCCATCCAACTGCTCATAAGCCTTTGGAGTAAAATCTGGAATCTTGTCATCCATTTCATCATGTCAGCTGATCCTCGATTGAATCGCACGAATTGCATAAACCTGTATAGGAATACATTGGTTGATCCTTTCACGAAATATGGTCGTAGTACTCGTTTGAAGTAATCTACTCCTGCTCCTGGTGGCTCATTAGCCTTCAATGCATCTCTGTCTAATACACGTTTGTATACTGCTGCTTCTCCTTCTAATCTGTTTCTCAAAGCTGGTCCTCTCTTCTCATCTTCCAGCTCGGTGATATCACACCAATCGTCTATGGCATCCTCATAGGAAAACCATGAAGTCTTTCCATCATAAGATGGGGGCACCTTTGTAGTGACCTGTGTTGTCATTGCTATTGCTGCTGGTTCTCTTCTCACATGCCTATTCACGTAGGCTGCTGGCTCATAAGCCACATCCGCATCAGGCTCTTCCCAGTCGTCAATCCAATCCATGGCCGTTTGCCCACAAGCAATTCTATGCCTAGGAAAGGAGCTCACCTGGGTCTTCCAGGATCACTGCTCCGCTACCACTGAAAGAGTGACTAGGGCGTACACGGTAGAGGTGCAGACCGCTAGTGTCTTTTACTCACGCAGAGTCTTATCCTCTTAGGTCCATTGACCCTCTCTTGAGCCTTGTAGCAGTCAAGCATGGACACACTATATCAGCTGTTGGAGTGGAACCCTGTACAGGAGGCTCTACTTTTCAAGGGGGGGGGTCTGTATTGAAAAATCAATTCCAAGGGGGCGGGGGGGGGGGGTCTGAATTGAGCGATCAATTATTAGACCCGGACGTCCCAACACTTGCTTCGCAAGACAAACTCAAGGTATCCCCTAAAGGGCTACCTTTCGTGATAAATCCGGCGCATCATTCTGATACCATCCTCCAGCTAGCAAAAACCAACTTTAATGTCAGCAAGGCGAGTTCTGTCCTTCCACTTCAAAGCTTAAAAAGCAGCATGCAGGCTTAAGTAACAGTTGACGTTGACGAGACGCAGTGTGAATGACAGCATGCAGCATCAAGCATATGATACGGCAAAGTGCAACCTTGCTTCCTTGCTTGGTTGGTCCAGGTTGCCAAGTTCAGCAACTAACCAGCAAGCATTGGGGTACTGGAGTTTCGACGTGTGACATACGTGTATTGTGTGGCACTCTGGAAAAAGTCTAAAGATCAGGGAGAAGCCCTGCTTTGCCAGGGCTCCTCAACCTCAGGACACTCGTTGCTTCTTTGGGACATCGTGCGGCTTCTGCAACTGCAGAAAACGGATGATCGAAGCAAGAGCAGCAAAAGCTTGAGTGAAGTGTGGGAACCGAAAGCAAAGAAGGTAATTGAGGAAAGCTCTACTTGATCGGGTTTCTTGAAATCCCCGACGTGGTACCTGCACCTTCGGCACGGTCTTGACCTGGGAGAGTTGTGGAAGAAGGTTGTGGAAGAAGATCCTTCAGGATAGCCATCACATTGCCACTCCATCTGAGATCAACACGACCTCCTGAACTTCAATCTTGGGAACTGTTCTCACCTTGGTGCTGCTCCGGCTCTGCGACTGTGGCTCTTTGTCTCTCTGGCAACTCCTGGAAATATTCCCAAAGCAGAGTGTGTTCAAAATGAAGTACTCTACTCCATCAAAAGTGTCTGTGCGCCAGGCGATCTCTTGCGTGTGCACTTCCGGCACTTCAACAATCTTTTCCACATATCTCACCTCAGACGGCAGCTACGGCAGCTGGTACGAAGTCGCTTGCAAAGAGTTGATAGCCAATGTAGCTCAACAAAACTCTGCTTGTAGTGAGTTAGCTTCCAAATTGTTCAACATACTTTCTGAACCTGATTTTTCATCTGGCTTCAGGATACATTGCCATCTACCTTCAGGATAACAGCATTTCGACTAGCGGATGCACCTCGGGCACTTCCACGACACGCTCCGAGACCTTTCATTGGCAAAAGAATCAGAGGAACCACCCGCTCTTCAGATAAGCTTACCTTTGTTGGCAGTTTGCGTTTTTGTAAACACCAAGTATATAATAGGGCAAAGAGCGACTTGAATGTGACAAGGATTTCCAAGACTTGAGCTTTAGTTCCAAAATACCACATTGGGAAGTAAGAAAAGCTGCTCTGCTCATCGCACGGTGCAACGAAAATCAAGAGAAAGAGATAGAGAGACAGAGAGAAAGAGAGAGAGAGAGAGAAAAGAAAAAACGAAAAGAAAATAAAAGACAAGAAAAGACAAGACAAGACAAGAGAAGAGAAAAGAAGAGAAGAGAGGAGAGGAGAGGAGAGGAATATAAGAGAGACGAGAGAGACAAGAGATAAGAGAGACCAAAGAGGTAAAAGAGACAAACGATACAAAAAAACAGAATGTTACAGTAAAGGTAAAACCTTTAAAAAATACCATCTGTAAGACTGGAGGGAAAATAAGTGTCTTAAACACATCTTTCCACAGGCTTCATGGACGTGCAGGACCAATAGCTGCTATCCCACAAAACAATGCAGTCAACGGAAGGAGGCGAGAAGTGACCAGAACAACCTAAACTGACTAGAAACAAGGAAAACAACATCCGCTTGTGGCCCACTTAAAGTCGTTGTTCAATGCGAATGCAATGAAATACGTCAGGTCCTGATATTCGATCTTCGGTACTTCCTTGATGATCTCATGAACCTGGAATAAGGCGGCAAATGCAAAGCCAGTCCATATCACCGTGCCTCTCCCCGCCTCAACTTTTGGAACAGCTCGAACCAACTCTTGAGTGCAGATTGTTGGCACCTGTGGTCCAGAACCTTCTCTGGGTTCTTGATGGAAACACTTTGAGGAGTACAGTTTGGTCAGTTCCGTATATTTGCACGGGGATTTATTTTTTCTTCATTGTTTTCTATTTCTCCCAAGGGTGAGCTTTCCAGACTGAGAAGTGAGGCAGCAGCAAACATGGCGCCTCTACGACCTTCTCTCTGAAAACGGCCTGTGGGTACTCGATCAGGAGCTCACCCTGACATTCCCATCACCCTGGCCCTGAACTCTGTAGCCGCAAAGCGTTCAAAATATTTGTCTGACCTGTGCCTGTGTCATATCTGATGTTCTTGGCACAGACCTCAAAGGCAATGGTGTTCAAACAGCATCAGCCAACTGACTGTCAATTGGTTGAACGTCTGTTATCATGTAAATTGACGCTTCTTCCTTTGACTCTAACGCCGGAGTCGGTCAATCAAGACAGCAATGGCATAATGTAGACACGTGAAGAAACCAGGTTCCGAGCCCTAATGAAGAGCGAGGTGTGTGCAAATGCGAAGTTTGCCCTGGTGCTTACAAGAATCGAACAAATTTTGATGTAGAGCCAGGGGCAATCATGTGGACCATATTGAAAGAAGTCATGCCTGGTCAATCGTCGGGATGTACTAGCTGCACGTATATGCTTTGCAGGGTATATATATATACGTACTTTTTCTTGTCTGACAAAAGGGGCTGCGCAGTGGTGTCATGCACACTCATGATGCACATGTAAACACACATCTGCACAATGATCTATATGGAAAATGGTTCGCGCTCCTTCTTGGCGATTTGAGACTCTAAAATGCTTCTTTGAGCTCACTTTGTCACCGTTGTCCATTTTCTTCCATTTCATTCTTCTCTCTGTTTTGCTTTAAATCGACCACACATTTGACTTGCCTGCTCTGCGATGTATTGTTCCCTGACTGATATCTCTCTATTCCCTATTTTGAACATTCTGTTCAATGGTCATTCTGATGGTGATCTGGTGTTTCCATGTTCAGTAAAGCCTCCATTGAGAATCAATCCACAATGAATTCTCATGGACTAGTTGCCTAACTGACCTATTATCCCTTCGTGGCGTTCAATATCATTGACATCCTTCCCAAATTCTTATTTGCTACTCTCTAACTCTGGGACCGTGTATTCTATACCAATTGATCTCCAATCACTTTACTGCGAGTTGTCATTGTAGCGTCTTTCTACATGGCCCCATAGGTGCCATAGCTCATCGTGTGTTCTGTCAAGTGTCTCTTCAAATTCTTCAATTCCCCTCTCACCTCTTGTGATAATCTTGTCATAGAACTCTATGAGCAAAATCAGCACGTAGAAATTCAAAGTGTTTGTAGATCTTGTAGGTCACAAAGCTAAATGTTGCAAAGCCAACAATGTTGAACACAATGATCATGACAACCCAAAATTTCGATTCTTCGTTGGATTTCTTCACTGCGTCCACCTCACAATCGCTGTTGTCTCCTTCTGAGAATGCTTCTGTAACCATTGGCTGCAAGCCCTCCAATGCTACCCTTCTCACAAGCATCTTTGCAATCTTGTTCACCTTTCCTGCAAAGTTCTTTTGCTCGTCATACTGTATACTCCATTCTCTCATGCTCTCCTACTCTGATTTCATGATCGCTGCGCCATTAACCAATGAAGTCCAACAAGTATCTGATTCTTGGTCCACCACGCGGTTTTGCGTTGTCTGCTATGTTGCCATCTGTTGGCACTTGTATCATATTGAAATCTTTCCTGCTCTGAACCCATAGCAGCTTTCCATCTAAGTGTCTCACCTTTCCAACTCCTCTCTCCGTCACAAGTTGGCGTGCGCTTGATGAACCTGTGTAGATGTAATGGTCCACCTTTGCCCCAAGAGTAAATTCAAGAACTGCGCGAAAATAGATTCTGCTGCTGTTGGGCAATGGGCAACTGTTCAATGCATGGAATCCTCCTGACGTATTTAAAAGGCAAATTTTTATAAATCCTAAATAACTAAATTCTATTTTAATTCTTATTCAATTCAAATTCAAATCTATATGTAAATTCAGGTTCAATTCTATTTCAATTATATTTCAATTCGATTTTGCTTCAAATTTCCTTCATTGGGGTTCAATGCAAGCCAAATTATAATTCGATTTTACCTCTAATTTCATTACTGTATAATTCAGATTCAATTAAAATATTTCATTCGTGTTGAATTAAAACTTGGAACTTATGAAATTCGCATTTATTTCTAGGGAACTGATCTTGCTTTGAACATAAAAGATTTTTATGAATTTTTCCAATATGGAAGTATATTCTTTCTTTAATGAAATATATTCATACCACCAATAATATTCATTCTCTAGAATGGAAGCAAAACTCAATTAGAATTCCATTTGCGTTGAGTTGGAATCAAGTTAGAAAATTAGATATATAGATCATTTGAATTTAAATCATATAAAGGCGTTAACGTTAGAAATCATTAACAAATCAATTGGAAATTGGAATAGGCAAAACTACAATGTTTAATGCAAAACAAAATGAAATAGAATTAGATGAGAAATAGATTTGAATTAAATTAGAAATTGAATGAATAAATTAAATCAAAATCCATTATTCAAATTGAAATTGATCTAGACCTAAGGTAGAATTGAATTAAAGATATTTAACCTAGGAATTAATTAATAGAACAATATTGCAATATTGATATAAAAATATGTTATAAATAATTCACTTTAATAAAAGTTGCAAATTCAATTTGAATTCCAATAAATAGAATATATTCAATTTAGAATTAGATTGGAAATATATTGCAAATTCACATATAAATTCAAGTTGGAATTTAATATTAGATCCAGAATAATCAAAGATAATTACAATTACAACAAAAATAAATTAGAATAAAATTGAACTATAATTTGATTATAATGAATTTTAAAAATACATAAACCTAATTTAGAATTTAACTAGGTTCAATTTAGAATTAAAATAGAAGTCTATTACATATTCAAAACAAATTCAATTTAAAATTCATTTAGATCCAATTTTATTATCAATAAAAAAGAAATGAATTAAATTCAATTTGAATAAATATTGATTTAGAATTTAGTTGAATTGTATTTAAGTCAAATTCATAGAATTAAATTAGAATTGAGTTAATAACTTAATAACTATTTAGAAATGAAAAAGAAATAATGCTCGTTTCTTTTTTTAGCAGACCAGCCAAAAAACAATCAGACCCATGGAGAGGGACCCAGGAGAGATTGGACAGGAGACATAGGTCCAACAAGTTCAGACTCATGGAGGGGGACCCAGGAGGGGCTAGACGGGAGACATGGGTCTGATTGTTTTGTTTTTGTGTTTTTTGGTAGACCAACGAAAAAACAAAAAATCAGACCCATGGAGAGGGACCCAGGAAAGGCTAAACAGGAGACAACCAAAACTGCAGACCACATGTCCACAGAGTCAGACAAGAGCCTCAATGGGGTCTGCAGTTTTGCTTTTTGTTTTTCGAGGTTTTTGCATGGTTTGCTCCAGATGGCCAGAACCTCGAAAAAACTGAAAACAAAAAAACCAAAACTGCAGACCACATGTCCACAGAGTGAGACAAGAGCCCCAATGGGGTCTGCAGTTTTTTTGTTTTTCGATGTTTTTGCATGGTTTGCTCCAGATGGCCAGAACCTCGAAAAGGCAAAAAAAACCCAAAAAAACATAACTGCAGACCACATGTCCACAGAGTCAGACTTCAAGAGCCCCAATGGCCAGAACCTCGAAAATCCAAAAAAAACAAAACTGCAGACCACATGTCCACAGTCAGACAAGAGCCCGAATGGGGTCTGCAGTTTTGTTTTTTGTTTTTCGAGGTTTTTGCATGGTTTGCTCCAGATGGCCAGAACCTCGAAAAAACTAAAAACAAAAAACCAAAACTGCAGACCACATGTCCACAGAGTGAGAAAAGAGCCCCAATGGGGTCTGCAGTTTTTTTGTTTTTCGATGTTTTTGCATGGTTTGCTCCAGATGGCCAGAACCTCGAAAAAACAAAAAAACAAAAAAACAAAACTGCAGACCACATGTCCACAGAGTCAGACAAGAGCCCCAATGGGGTCTGCAGTTTTTTTGTTTTTCGAAGTTTTTGCATGGTTTGCTTTGCTGTATACTGTTGTTATCACATCAAATTGCCCTTCACTCTGCGAAATCCATGTAGAACCCTTCAAAACCTTGCAAAATCAAAACTTTCACATCCCCCCCCTCACCCCCTGCTCTCTAAGCGAAATTGGCCTTTGCTTCCTAATGGTACATGAGAAAATCAGTCCAATTTGGCTGTCAACCGCAACTAGCCAACGTAGCAAAAGTCAAAGCTTGTTGTGTCACGGCGATCTCGACGGGCTTGCTGCTCGATGCACTCCTCACACCAATTGGCATATGGCGTGTGCGTCAACCTGTGCCTTGCTTGAGTTGCTTCATCTGGCATCTTCGCCACACTTTGTCCTAACGCATCCCTTGTTTCCTGTGCTTTTGCTTCACTCAATCTTCTTGTTGCGATTGAGGATCTTGGTGTGGATCTTTAGCTTAGAGCCACTGCCTGAAATGCCGAGAAACGAACATGCTGCTGTCAGAGTTGCCAAAGATGAATCCTTCGTCAACTCTACTCCACTCACCAAGACTTTGTCTACATCCACTGGGCTTAATTGAAAGTCACATTCAAGGTCTTCATCCTTCTATTCCTCTTCTCTCTGGCCTTCTACCTCCTTCTCCTGGGGAGTAGGGGCAACCTCTTCCATGGCCTCTTGAACTTCTTGCCTTCTCTCTTCTCTGTTCTCAATCTTCTGATATCCTGGCGCAAAGAATCCCATAGCCTCTGGCGGCACTGGCTCATAGCTGAAGATTGTCATTGAAGGAATGACTGCATCATCATCATAGAATTGCTCATCAAGTTCCTCCTTTTTCATCACGCTCTCGCAATATTCAGGCGTTAAGCGTCTACTTCATCTTTTCACCAAAGTGGTTCTCATCAACTCTGGCGGTTCTTAGACTTCTGGAATGACTGTGGGGTCCACGAATCTTGAAGCCGGTAAGCTTCCAACTAGCAGTCCATGCTGGTTGAATCTCCAACCTGATTCCTTTTCCAAAGATTCAGGCGCTTGCGCCCCCAAGCAGCTTTCATCTTTAGCAAGGTGTCCTGCCTTTCCACAAGTGTAACATGTTGCTGCACCTTTGCCTTTTTGGGCCTTTACCTTTACCTTTGCCCTTGAAATCACCTTCTGAGCTCCTTTGCTTTTCTTTCCTTTGCCCTTGGCATCTTTACCCTTACCTTTCTGTAGGTCATTCTTGCCCTTCTTGCCTGTTCCTTTGGCATTTTGGGCTCCGTCCACCTCCATTGGCGTAGGCCCTTGGCCCTTGATAGTCTGTACCACCATGGAAGTAGCCCGCTTTTGCTGAGATCTTTCCCATTGCAACACTTGTTCCCTCAAAGTTGAGTATTGAACATTGTCGCTAATTGTCAAGTTCAAACATGATTTGAGTTGTCCACCCACACATCTCAAAAGAATAG